TGTTAATATTTTTAACTCAAAGGATTGAGGCCCTAAGAGAATGCTAATAATTGATTAACTATTTATAACAGTGATATATAATTACATGTATATAATTAATCTGTATCATATTACATGTTATATCACATGATATATAATTACATGTTATATAATTACATGTATTTACAACTGAAAGTTCCGTTCAGTCAATTTTAAATTGAATACTGTAGCAGAATATTGTTTTTTTAAATATCTAATTATGATCGATTCATTATAACTACTGATTTAAAGAACAGAACATTGTTTTTTTTTCTAAATAAAAATGATCTTATTAAAAAATTTTAAAGTAATTGATAAACATTCCAAAATGCTTTATTTACAAATTACTTTATTTTAATGCTTGTTTGAAAAAATGTTATTCCAATAGGATTATTTTAATCCCCTAAACAGTAATACTGACATATCCTGAATTTGAGACAAAATCCGAGAATATATCAAAGATAAGTGTATAAGTACCAGAGCTCATTCTAGGCAGGGTAAACAGGGCGCAGCACCCTACTGCCCTTTTAGTCAAAATAATCCACCCTCTTGCCCCTGAAGTAAATTAGTGTCCTGATGTATTAAGACTCCATACCCTTTTTGCTCTTTCTTTCCTCAACTCTTTATTTTTTCCCCAAACTCTACAGTGGATTTCTCAGACTTTTATTTTTAACTCTTTTTATTTAGTTTGTCATTGCTGTCAATACAAAGATTTATATGAGAAAGGAAAAATAGCCAACAAACCCCCTTGCTGCACTTGTCTTTGAAAGTTTGCAGTTACTTTCACTATCATTAAATCATAATTATTATTAATCATTTTAATTATTATATCATAACTATCTATACACACTTAAAAACATAAGATAGTGGTCCTCGTAAACTCGATAATAGTTTTTTGCTGTTTATCATTTTTGATCAGACAATATTTATGAAAGCTAGCTCTATTCACAAAAGATAAACTGCGGAATTTTTTGCAGTTTATCATTTGTGAACCGAATTAGCTTTCAAAAATATTACCATGCGTTTTCTGGCATAAAATATTACATTGGTATTAAAGTATTTCCGGGGAAATTTTAACTTATCGTTTTCTTTCACAAATCTTTTATTGCGAAGTGCCCTTTCACAAAAAATGGTGCCAGACCAAAGTAATTCACACCAAATTATTAAACCGAATAATTGAACAGAAAGTAAAAAAAACATAAAAAGATTATAATTTTAAAATTTCGAATGTTGGATTGAATATTATTCAAACTTAAAATATATTAGCACGATTGGTAGCAGAGTAGTAGATAAACGTCAAGAAACGAATTTTCTAGGCGGCTTACTGTCTTACCGCTAAAAACCGTTTTGCTTACTTGAGAACTGAAGGAATAGTTTTTTAGCACCAGCAAAACCTCAATTTAAACAATGAAAATAAACTTTAAAAATAATTCAATAGTATGACATTTTTATTTTCAATGTTTTTGAAAAGCACGATGCTATAGAACACCTCACCATACAGTTAAAAAAAAGTGGTAAGGAAAAAGACCTTTTGAGATAAGCAAAGAATTTACAGTCAAAGACCTATAATAGAAAAACATGTGCTAAAAATAACTAAAACGAAAACAATCAAGTTAACATGCTGATCTATTTTTAATACAAAATTTTTCTATATGAGTAGTTTTAGTCTCCAACTTAACACTCGCAAAAGTAAATATTATATTTCATTACTGGAGTACTTTGAAAAATATAAATCGTATCGTAACATAAACAGTTACAAATTTATACTACAATTGACCACAGACTTTGATAGTCCTAGAGATGTTACATCTACATTAACCAGACTAAAGACAAAACATTATACCCAGATAGCTAAAGAAGGTTTTTTCGAACTCAGCAAAAATCTTTAATAAATTTTCACAAAAATCAAAGTGGCTTTTTAAGTTTCATGTTAAAGGCTTTAAAAAATATGTGCCACCATATACCTCGATGTATTCACAATACTTGGCAGATTGGATACATACAATTCCTACAATAGATATTACAACAAATACATACACCTTGGAGCAAAAGCAACCTGACACGTACGTGCTAAAATGGGATGAAGTTTTAGTCTCCAACTTAACACTCGCAATTGTAAATATTATATTTCATTACTGGTGTACTTTGAAAAATATAAATCTTATCGTAACATAAACAGTTACAAATTTATACTACAATTGACCACAGACTTTGATTGTCCTAGAGATGTTACATCTACATTAAATCAAAAAATCAAAGTAGTCACAAAAATCAAAGTAGGTTTTTAAGTTTCATGTTAAAGGCTTTAAAAAATACGTGCCACCATATACCTCGATGTATTCACAATACTTGGCAGATTGGATACATACAATTCCTACAATAGATATTACAACAAATACATATACCTTGGAGCAAAAGCTACCTGACACGTACATGCTAAAATGGGATGCATGTGTCCCTGAAGTGTATGAACTAGGGTCAAATAACGCAACGAACCTCTAGTACTTTACAATAAATGCACTATAGTTCATCAACAGTATGCGAAAGAAAAACAAAAAGAGACGAAAATGCCACTCACCCGAGCCACCGATGACCCAGCCCCACACATCACGAGCAGTTCATAGATGTCTTTATTCAGCAGCTGTGCTCTGCTACGCAGAGTGCAAGTTATATATTGAAGTCAATCTGAATCAGTCCAGGGTGAAATAGCTAAAAAAGAATTAATAATACTTTACGATAAATTATCTTAGTAATTATACACAAATGTCAAACCGTAGTAAANTAAAAACCTGAAGTGTCAAAGGACAAATATTCAGGATAAATCCTGAAAGAAAAAAAGTATGAATGAAATGCGACATTCATAAATAGCCATGGTCATTAATCTACACAAATTTCTAATTCTATTAAGAATAGTTTAAAAATCGAAAAATTACTAATTAACTTAAAACTATGTGTATGCATAGCATTCAGTAAAATATTAAAACACTTTCGAAATCATTTCTTTCACTTCTACGATTAGGGAAAGCTATAATCTTAAAAAAAGTACAATTATGCTGGGCGTTTCCTTATTTTCTTCTTATCTTCCAAAAAAATTTAAAATTAAAATTAAGAAATCTTCCTGAGAAAAAGAATTTGAAGTTCTGAGGGCAAACTATCCCTCGGGTTAAGCAAAGATTTACACGATTCAGATTTAAATAAAAATAATATTTAACTGGCCGCTTTTAAAAAAACAATTGAAAAAATTTGTTATTTATAATTTAAATTCAAATGATAAAAGCAAGAAAACCAAATGCTAACCTTAATAATACAACAGAGACCGTCTTATTACCAGCACGACAGTGAAGGTAAATATAAACAGCTGGCGGGAAAATAATTTTTCGAAGTGATCGCTGTGGAATTGAGAAGAGTTGAGTTGTATTCGGGATGAAAAGGATCTGAACCATTCGCTTTAAACCTTTGGGCCGCAGTGGAAATGATGACCGTAAAGCAAACTTTCACTTTAACCAATCAGATGAAATATCGATACTTGTGGCCTTCACGTTACGCTCTTTCATGCAAATGCGCGAGCACATCCTCTTACATGTAGTTTCTAAACATTCTCACGCGAGAATGACACCTGTACAATTGCGATAACTGATGGAGAAGCAATATTTAGAATAAATGAAATAAAATTTCATCGCAAATGTGGGATAACCAAAGGAAAAGATGTTTATTGATTAATGATAAATCCAAGTGGATGATAAGTCCTGATCCAAGTGGTCACCCATCCGCATACTGACCGCAGCCAGTGATGCTTGACTTCGGTGATCTGCTAGGAACCGTGTCTTAACAAACAGTCCACTGCGGGACTCTCTATTTTAAGGATATTATATATATATATATATACACTGGTTATAGCTATTATATATATACATACATTGTAGCCAATAGGACGACTTTGTGGGTCCCTTATTAAGCTTATAATTATTTCCTCTGGTAGGGTACACTTCGAATTTCTTCATTTTAACGCTTTTCAACACGCTATTATATATAGAATATTATAAATTTATTTATAACATTCAGTTATGCTTTATTATGCATCCGTTATTTATAATACTTACTCATTACATCACCTAGCCATACTATAGCACCTTTCATAGTTTTACGCGGATCCGCCCTGGATACACAATCTCACCATTCCATCAAACGATGTGTAGTGTATTGGTAACGGATTCGAATCCCATTGTAACCTGGATGTATCTTTGAAATGACGTTGTTTAATTTATGTTATATGTTTTTCAACTGAATCTTATAAGCCATATTCTATAATGTGCACACATATCTGCATATTCATCTGTAGCTTTCTCCCATTTTCCCAATAAAAAAAAATTTCCTACATGCAGGAACCTCCAGAATATCGAAAAACACATAAAAAAAAAATATAATTTAAAATAAACAAAAAAAAAGAAAGAAAATTTTTTGAAAATTTGACCGTCCCTGGGATTTGAACCCAGGACCCCTCCCTCCTGCAGCGAACTTGCTTGTCTAGTGGCCTACCTTCCAGTCCACGGTGATACGTGAAGCCTACCACAGTTTCGCTTTAAAAGCTCTCTCCTCTCATCTTCGCAATATACCTTTAGGGGCCCACTGTGACCCCCCTAATTGGCCTATAAAAATTCTCATCAGCAGCCTTGTTTGGACTATAGACCACTACCTAGGGTCCGAGTTTGAAAATTATACCTTGATATTAAAGGGAGCTAGGGGTTCTTGAAATTTGAACAATTGTCGAGCCATTTTAATTTTTTATTCTTTTTTTTTATTACTCCATTACGCTTTCTTTGCTGGACTTCACACACAAAAAACACCCCATGCATGCTAGAATATCCAAAATGTTATAAGAGAAGTCGAAGAAGAGAAAATTAACTGATTTTCCTGGATTTATCCAGTTTTTTCCCATTTTCCCAATAAAAAAATTTTTTCTGCATGCAGGAACCTCCAGAATATCGAAAAACACATAAAAAAAAATAATATAATTTAAAATAAACAAAAAAATTTTTTTTTGTTGAAAATTTGACCGTTCCTGGGATTTAAACCCAGGACCCCTCCCTCCTGCAGCTACCTTGTTTGTCTGGTGGCCTACCTTCCAGTCCACGGTGATACGTGAAGCCAAACAAAATTTCGCTTCAAAAGCTCTCTCCTCTCATCTTCGCAATATACCTTTAGGGGCCCACTGTGACCCCCATATTGGCCTATAAAAATTCTCTTCAGTAGACTTGTTTGGACCATAGACCACTACCTAGGGTCTGAGTTTGAAAATTATACCTGGATATTAAAGGGAGCTAGGGGGTCTTGAAATTTGAACCTTTCTCATGAAATTTAATTTTTTTATTCCTTTTTTTTAAGTCAAAAAGTGATTACCTAAATGCATCAAATATTACGTGTTAACTTTTGTTGAAAAGAATAGTAATTTTTTTTTTTTTTACTTCTTAAAAGAAAATCTTTCTGCAAGAACTTTGTAATGTTCCGCGACAATGTCGCTGTGATTCTGCCACAGGGATCACCTGATAATTAAATTTTACATAGAATCTTATAGTATGTCTAATAATTTGGCCAGGGACTGCATTTATAGTTATCAACATAAAACATACTATAGAGATAATAGCTTAGAGTAATCAATCAATTGAAATAATTCGCTGAAATTACAACTATTCAGATCATTTGAATAACAAGTAGTAGAGAAGGGAGGCTCTCGACAATCCATATTCGTCTGATGGAAGGCTAACCACAATGTAACAAGTTCCAAAAAGAGGTACAATGATTAAATTAAATTTAAAAATCCTCCAATAATAAAGATAACCAAAGCCTTTTTTAAAGTGGAACCAACTATTTTAAATATATAAGGTACTGACAATTCAACTTTTAAAAATTATACTGTTAAAGTACCTAACGAATTAAATGTGCATTATTAAAAATTTAACAAAACATTTATTTAAAAACAAAGAAAATAAATTACATTAGGATATGTAATTTATTTTGGTAACTAAAACTGACTACTTACCTTAACACAAGGACTGAAGAGACCATTTCTCACTCTTAATTCAAACGAATGAAAAAAAATATTCAAAAACGTTATCTAATTTTAAATGAAGAAATTTTTATTTTAATAAATTCTTAACAGTCTTATTTATTAGTTTATTCATAATTATAGATCTAAGTTTCAAGCTGTCACAATATGCAACTTCATTTTTTTTTTAAATCCTAGTAAAAATATATTAATTTTTTAATTGTTTTGTTATTTCGTTCTTTTTTTTTATTTTGGTGACATCAAAATTTCATTTCATAATTTAATTTGTTGTTGTTGTTGGCGTATGCCTGTTCAGGCTGAGGGGTGAGATTGTTCTTGTTTTCCAGTGATGCCATCTAAGGCCAAGAATTCGACTTCTGCCACACCCATACATCTCACCCGTTTATAGGGTGTAACCTATTGATACATCCGTTCATTCATCCACAGATTGTAATTTTGACCTAAATCAGAGAATGATCAATCCCCAATTCAGTACCCCCAGAGGTTTTGATTTGTTATGGGAACATGGAGGGCTTAGCGACTCGACGGATTTAATCTGTATCAGTCACCATCTTACTTATTCCTATGGCAAAAACAATGAAGAAAATTGATTGCTTTATAACTAATAACTTTGAATTATAAGATAATGACAGGAATCACTGCGATTAGAAGCAGAAAAAAAAATCTACATAGCTGCAATCAACATTATTTACTCAAAAAAAAAAATTATAATACATGTCATAACTTATGCTCAGTGCAAAAGCGATGCAAGAACGAAAAATAAGAGAGATTACTACTCGACTTATGAAACGTTTTTATACATTTCGTTACAATAAAACACATTTTCCAAGTTAATTAAATCATTATTTTAAAGCTAATAAACAAATACTGAAAAAAATTTACAAATTTATAAAATTATGGTAATTGCCAGTAAGTTTAGCTTATTTAACAGCATTTTTATTGTTCTATTTTGAATACAGTGATATTTTATTCATAACTCTTGAACAGTCATACTTTTTTTAAACTATTATTATGCTATGTACAAAAATTAAAAGAACTGTAAAATATTCTGCTAACAGTCCACCGAAGGCTATGGCTGAGCCAAAGAGGTCAAAAGGTTCAAAATTTCGTGACCAACGCCATGTTTGTGGCGGTGTGATCATTATTACGCTCAGACCTCCTTTACTTCCCAGACAAGTTGGTAGATACGTTATATGTATTAAACATATTTTGTCATTTCTGCTATTTTTTGTTCCTTTTTTCTTAAATAGCAAATGCAGACCTGCCAACCTTAGAAAATAAAAAAGCAGGAGACTCTTTCTGTATCACGACATAGCGCAATATTGAAAATTAAACCTGATTCACACTTCCTACAAGAAGTTTATTTCAAAAAATATTATTTACATTACATAAAATAGACCACAATAAGATTCTGACACTGACTAATAAAGATACGTGTTCTTACTATAAAATATAATGTTCTATAGAATTATATTAAAACATATCTTTTGATTTTTTCAAATTTAGGAAGAAGTTCAAAACTAACAAAATATGTCAATAATGAATACAATACTTTATAAATGCAATTTCTTAATTTTTTTTTTAACTGCTACTGTTTTAAAACTGCAGATGTTGCTGATTTAGCATTATTTAAAAAAAAAAACTGGCATCTATAGAAAGTAAAAAAACATTTTGCCTAATGGTGTCCAAGATATCTCCAATTTTGCCATTTCATTGGTTATTGCTGCTGTTTTGGTTCACACTCACCATAATTTTTAGTGATGTTACGGGGCAAGGTTTTTCTAAATAAATGCCCAGCATGATCTGAAGCACAAGTTGGGAAGGAAATTGCACAAATTGTTGTTTTTTTCCTCTATCTTGCACTAAATAGAAAAAAGCAGGAGAAACCACCCTGAAGGCCTGAGGGCGAAGATTTGAGACAAAAGCAGGAGAGTTGGCAGGTCTGCAAATGATCATACTAACATGATGTTCCCTCAACTCTACTTATGCAATTAAAATAATGAAAAGTGAAAAACTGTCATAATATTAAGAATTAAATATTTGCATTAATGCTAAATAACCTCTATATAACCAGCAAAAAAATTCTGCTCTAACCGTAATATTGAAATATCTTTTTGTTAATATTTTTAAATTAAAGGATTAAGGCTGTAAGAGAATGCTAATAATTGATTAATTATTTATAACAGTTATATATAATTACATGTATATAATTAATCTGTATCATATTACATGTTATATCACATGATATATAATTACATGTTATATAATAACATGCAGTTACTAAATTGAATATTGTAGCAGAATATTGTTTTTTTTAAATATCTAATTATGATCGATTCATTATAACTACTGATTTAAAGAACAGAACATTGTTTTTTTTCTAAATAAAAATGATCTTATTAAAATATTTTAAAGTAATTGATAAA